AGCCCAAACCCGCCCCTCCCGGCTCAGCCGAGGAGCCCCTGAGCTCGTAGGGAGAGCGCGGCCGAGCCCGGCGCCTCGTGTGCTCCTGCCTCGGCTTCCGAGGAGGGCGAGCGCTGCTGCCGGGGGCTGTACTGTGATAAACAGATATATACTTTAAAAATTGTGCATCTAAGTATATGTAAAACAGACACCCAAAAAAATTAAATATATATAAAATAGATATATAAAAATGGATATAAAATGGATTTAAGTATATATAAATGGATAAAAACCACATGTAAATATATATAAATGGTATAAAATAGATTTAAGTATATATAAATGATAGAAAATACATTTAAGTGTATAGAAATAGATAGAAAATACATTTAAGTATACATAAAATAGATAGAAAATACATTTAAGTATACCTAAAATAGATAGAAAATACGTTTAGGTATAGAGAATACCTTTAGGTATAGATAGATAAAATATTCTCTCTAAAATTACATGCATTTTTTTGGTTTTACCCCCTCTTTTGTTTCTCCGGCTCCCCGGCTGCAGCCCCCGCCGTGATTTCCCCCCAAGACCCCACCCTGCTGATCGGCTCCTCGCTGGTCGCCACGTGCACGGTCAGCCCGGACTTTCACCTGAAAGCCGAGGACCTGTACTGGACCCTCAATGGCCGGCGCCTGCCCGCCGCCTCCTACACCGCCCTCGGCCCCACCACGCTCAGCGTGGCCCTCGCCCGCCTCAACGGCTCCAAGCAGCAGTCGGGGGACAACCAGCAGAGACGGCGGCATCTTGGCCGGCTCCTGCCTTTACGTTGGACGTACGTCGGCGGCGCCGGCGCGGTCGCACGTGCCGGGTTTGCTCCGAGCCCCGGAGCTCCGTGCCGGGATGGCCTCGCCGGCCGGGCTGCACCGCTTCAGCGGGGCGCGGCGTCGTGTGGGAGCCTCGGGAGGATGTGTGGATCCCCACGAGGATTAACACCCCCCGGTTCTTGCCAAAATGCGCCGTGAGCTTGCAAGGGTCGCTCGTGGCTGCTCGATTTTAACCTCCCCGCGGTTCGCGCCCGGTGCCCCAACCCGCGGCCTCGGGCTCGCCGGAGCGCGCAGCAGAAAGGCTGTTTTGGCAAACCCTCGGTAAAATTACACTTGTCCGAATCAATAATCGTAAGATTTTTATCTCGGGCTATTTTAAGGACGATGCTACGTCCTAGGAATACAGAGGCTTAACTGGGAACACAGCTTGGATTTTTTTGGGTTGCTGTTGCTGAAAGAAAACAGCTCCGGGGCCGGGTGCGGGCAGGGGCCGGGTGCGGGCAGGGGCCTAAACCCCTCCAGCCAACACGTTCGCAGCCACGGGGCTGGAAACCTGTGGCTGGTGGGGACCGCAATGGCATCACCCGCTGGGACGGGGGGGCTGCGATTTGCCACTGCGCCTTTTCATCCCACTCTGCCACACATTTTTTCTTCTTTTTTTCTTTTTTTTCCTCTCCCAGTACCCCCAGAAAAACCAGTCAACATCACCTGCTGGTCTAAAAACATGAAGGACCTCACCTGCAAGTGGGCGCCGGGGACGGAAGGCGAGACCTTCCTGCACACCAACTACACCCTCAAGTACAAGCTCAGGTGGGGGCCTTAATTCCTTAATTAATTTGCCTTAATTCCTGTTATTCTTTACGCTGCCAGCGTGGGATTTAAAGGCTGGCAGGGAACGGGGAGCCCGGTGCCTCCTGGCTGGCCCCTGGCTGGGGGTGTTGCCCGGGGTGATGAGTTTCCTCAGGTCTCGGCCGCCGCAGGCGCTGGCGGGCAGCCCTGCCTCGTGCGTGCCGGGGGGGGGGGGGGGGA